GAATTCATCTGCCAATCGGTTTCTCAGTTAATTATTCAGTGCATGGAATGTCAAGAAATTGTAAAACAAAATGTTCATCAGTTTCCCAGAGCTCAATGAGATGTCTTGTGTTCCTTATTTTGTCTAACCAACAGTACAAAACCCAGTTGCAGCTTTCAGTTAGCGTACTGTAAACAACATTTAGCGATTTCAGACGTAGGCTTTTTTTGTTAAATGTGTAAAGATAGAGCAACATAGAGTGGAAGATGTGTTGTGCTTCCAAAATGGGTTTCTTAACTCTAACTGACTGCACTGACATTACTTTTGCAATGAGGTCGGGATAAGAAACTGACATGTATAACTGAACTCTGCTTGTACTTCTTCCCCCACATACTTTAAATCAATGAAGCCAGTGATGGGGGGGGATAAAAAAGATTGGGTTTAAAGAGAATAAGGCACATGCTGAAAATAACCTGAATTATGCTTTAATCATAAATTTGACCAAACTGTAAGGTTTCCATCCATTGCAGCAGCCATGTCTGCAACGTCTCCTGCTGCTGTCTCGCTACCTGTCTCTGACCTTTGCACACTCCTTGTTGTCAGATACCAGGTCCAGGAATTAAGAGAATAATGAATTAATGACTACATCTGTAGAGATCTAGATTCATGTTTACACTGAAGACAGCATACACTGAAGGCAACTAGGACATAAGCAATGTCAATGTCTCTGATTTAGACATAATATGTGCATAAGCAAGCCACTAATACAAGTGTAAGGGGTGATGGAGTTCTTCCTGCCAAGCCATCAAACTGTGAATCTGGAGTTAGTGTTGTGAAATGTGTTGTTGACTAGTGTTACATGATCAGCTGTTGGCTGCTTTTAACTGGTCTGAACAGGGCAGCTCTCCAGAAGCTGCCTCACCTCTGATGCCTCCGCAGTAAAAAAAACATTTCTTCTTTCTCTTTCTCTTTCTCTTCATCTCTATAAAATAAACCGATTCCTGACAGCTGAGAGTTATTCTTGTAAGCAGAGAAGATTCTCTAGGCTACAGAGACCGTAGTAGAGTTCTGAGTCAAACGAGTAAAAGTGTATCACTCTGTTGTTTTACAGCTCCTTCTTTCCCTGACAAGATGTCCCCAATCAAAGCCCTCACCATGAAGGACTATGAGAATGTGAGTGATTTGCATCAAATGGCATGTGTGATACAATGAGGTTATTCACTCAAACTTACTCCACCACAACAAACAGGGTATTTTGATTTATTAAACCTGATCCTCAGTCTGATTAAAACCAAGCTACGCTGACCATTTATGGAGATTCAGTGATGAAGTGTGTGTATGTGTGTAGGAGTAGGATTAAGGTGAGTTGAAGCATATATTTCAGCATTTGGGTGGAATGCATGCTCAGAGTTTTTGGCTCGTGCTGCCTGGCTGGCTGCATGATTAGAGGTTTACAGAGGGGTCCAGACTTCTGCCTCCTCCTTTTGACAGTCTACCCAACCCCCATTACCAGATGTATGACGTTCTGAGCCTGGAGCACAATGATGCACAGTCCACTTCACACACATTTGCACTCAAACACACATACAAGCATGAAGGCCTCCCTGCATTTTAACAATAACCATACACATTATCCCTTTCTGCCACGTAAACACACTGTCCTGCTTTTCTCCACAGATTAAAGTGTTTTTCTTTGACCCAATGTGGTTGTCTTCTTAGCATTAAAGTAAAGTAAATGCACAGAGTTAATTTTGGGCTGGATAAGGACTACAACTTTTTCAATAAAATGCTTTCTGTGTTTCAGTTACTTTCCTGTATATTAAAACGTTTCTGTCAATCACCCGCAGCAAATCACAGCTCTGAAGAAAGAGAACTTTAACCTGAAGTTGCGGATTTACTTCATGGAGGAGCGCATGCAGCAGAAATGTGACGACTCCACTGAGGACATATTCAAAACGGTGTTGTTTTTACTTTAGTATGCAAAATGCAAATTGCCCTCTGTCTCTTTGTCATGCATTTATGTGGCCCCTCAGTGCCTTAATGTTGCGTGTGACTCAGTGTTTCCTACCATGACTAATTGAGATCACAGCTTTAGCCACAACAACAGCTGGATTTTGTTTAACCACAATCCCACATTTATGATCTTAGAACAGCAATCTTGCCATTTCATTGTTCTGTAAGTGAGATGTAAGCACATTGGAATCTTCTGGCCTCATTAGGGGTGCTCGTGTTTCTCTGTGTCATCTAAGAATGTTATCTTTATGTACACACTCCAAGATAAACCTTGAGATTGATTCATTTGGTCATATTAACAATGTAACTGTCAGGTCGATCGTTTAAGAATATCTAGAATATTTCTGTTTTTACCAGTGTTTTTTTAATGACTCCAGATGTGCAAATTGTGCTATAATCAACTGAATGTTGTCTGTTTTATAGAACATTGAGCTGAAGGTGGAGTTGGAGTCTATGAAGAGAGAGCTGGCAGAGAAACAGGAGCTACTTGTGTCTGCATCGTGAGCATTGTTCCCTATACATTCCTACTGTACTGGCAAAAACAAGATTTTAGTTGGCTGGAAGATTTTACGAAAGACCAGTGGCCAAAATGTACATAAAAGCGTTAAACTCCCCTGTGACTGCTTTCCAGGAAAGCATTGGAGAGTCTGGCTGGTCGAGAATCAGGAGAACCCCAGCGTTTGAGAGTGCAAGCTCAAAGAGAGATGGATGCACTTCGGGATGCATTCAGCAAGAGGATAGCTGACCTAGAACAGGTGAGTTATTTCAGTCTGTTGAACACTAAAGTCGGTATTATAAAGTTAGACAATAACCCTATTTCATGTCTTTAGATAAGATTTAAATGATGATGTAAAACCGTAGTTATACAGGGTTACACAGTACAGTAAAAAGGTATCCAGTGTTGGTCACTCATAATAATCAGTATTGAGTTGGCTCACTTGGTCTTTTTGTCTCATGTCAGAGCCTGCGAACGGCAGAGGAAGAGGTTGAGAAGATGGCAGCCATTGCTGAGCAGGAGAAACTTAAGAATATTAACATGGAGAAGCAGCTCCAAACCCATGGTCCACCGAGCACCTTCACCCCTGTCCCCAGCCCGGTCCAAGACCTGCAGCAGGCCCTGCAAGAGAAAGACAAGTAGGGACACAAGAGAGAAGCACAGACACGTTAATATGTTGTATTTTTGTAGTGTGTTTCCAATCTTTTTTTATTTATTTATTTTTTCACGCCAGTATTATTGAGAAGCTCAAGATCACTTTAAAGAACCAGGAAGCTGTGATCCAGCAGAAGAAAAGTGCTGACCCAGAGACAGTTGCACCATCAGCTGACAGTGTTAAACAGCTATCAGATCTCATTGCCAAGAAAGATCAGGAACTTGAGGTATGACTTTCTTATTCAGCTAAAGATATGTCATGAATGTTGTGAGCTTTCCATCTCTAGCAATCTCTAGTAATACCCAAACATATAAAATTAATTTAGATTAACAATAAAATGTTTTGTGTTATCTGTTGTCATATACAAGAAAGAATTCTTTCGAGTTATTACATTTATTGGCAGTAAATAACTACAACTTAGGCTCAGCACTACTTGCAATATGAAAAGACATTTGAGTGACCTTTGTCTTTCTATTTCCCAGGCACTAAGGGACGAGCTACATAGAGAGAAGGAGCAAACAACACCGGACCATCAGGTTGGTGCATCTATCCATGTATTGAGATCCCTTGTTGTTGTCTTTTGCCCACCGGGAGACTTTTTATGATGCACACAAGCTATGCTCTTGCTGTGCGCACAAAGCAGTTGCTGTAAACTTCTGAGGATTATCTGTCTTGTTCTGTTGAACCACAGGAAATATACTTTGGCATGTTTTATGACTTGCTTTTTTCCTCTGTGTGCCTCCTGGTGCTGTTTTATCTTTGTTCACTGCTTCAGTAAAGTGGCTGGATGCTCTTTGTTGTGGTAATCTTGGGGCATTAATGGGTTGTCTTAATGTTTGTTTTACAATCAGAAGCTTAACCCTATGGAGTAATCTCTCAATTTACCATAACCCTTTAAATGAAAATAAACCTGTATTGGAGGATTCTTCCTAAAATTCTCTTATCTATATTCTCTATACCAGCTATTGTATATGGTTTTACATTCTGTGGGACCCATATGCTTAATATTAAATCTGAACCCTGTTGATCTGTTGATATGTGGTACTTTAATGTTTGATAGATGGCAGTTGAATATCTAAGATAGCGTATAGTTCCTCACGTTAGAAAGCTGTGTGTAGAGATAGTGTAGAGATAATGACATGCAGTTTGAATGTGGTCATCAAAACATTATGCAGCCTCTTGGTGAAAGTACTGTATTGTTGACGTTCCTAGGAGAAAGCTGTTAGTTGGGCAGTGTCCATAGTTTCCTCATCAGGCCATGACGTCTGGACTCACGTCGGAGGTCACAGAGTTAAGACTGGATTACCAGGCTGTCTGGAGACAGTTCCTCTGAGAGTTATTTATGTCCATCCTTCTTTATCAAAAGGGAAAAAGTGTAACCTGTCTCTGTTTGTCAGATACGGATAAACCAATGTGTTGCAAAAGATTTTGAAAGATTGGTGACAACGTTTCTACCAGGGATTCTTTTGGGGCGTGACAGGACGTTGAGTGGCCTCTTCAGGAGGTGTAATGGAATGTGTGACAGCAGTGACTGCCAGAAAAAACTTCCTCTAATCTTAAAGCGGATTTTTAGGTGTCCTGCCAGGCAGGATGCACTCTATAGGAGTGATTGGCTGTCGTATCTTTACCAATCCCTTGAAGACGTACCCGTACTTGTGGCCGGACTTCATACCTCATGTCCGTGTCAGGACATTTGGGAGGAGGTTTTCAAGAGATGGCCTGGCACCAACCATAACACAGATCACTGCAGCAGTCCTAGACGATTGGATTTGATTGAATGTGTGGGGGAGAGTGGAATAGAGGCGGGAGCAGGGATTATCAAAGGCTTAGGGCTTATAGTGCCCTGCATTCAGTCATTCTCTTCTGTGCTCCTCTTGCTGATGCAGTGAGAGAAAATGATAGATGTCTATTCCACTGTTGGCAGGCTGATGACTGTAGGCCACTGCACAGTTTGTGTGTCATTGAGAGGCTTTTTGGACTTGTTTTAAGTGGGTGAGTCTGGAATCTAAAGATCTATGGTGCCATGAGGGACCCGTGTCGTATATGTGGTGTCCGTGCGGTGGGAAGCCAGTGTCGCTGGATCTTCAGCCCAGCAGCACAGAGGAAGTTACAAGTCATCTTGTCCCATGTGCTGGGCTGGGAGGTGACTCGCGATGGTCGTGGAGAGTTCCTCTGTGGGAAATGTGTGTTCCAGTTGGAGAAGGTGGTACAGTGTGATGTTGACATCAGCCAGCTACAGGATGAACACAACAGTCAGATTCAGAAGCTGCATGCAGAGAGAGACCACCTGATCCAGTGCATCATCCACATCTACAAGAAAAACAACCCAAGCCCGGACAAGAGTGATGGGGAAAGCACTAGCTGGAAGGCTCCACTCAGGTCCTCTGGGGTGGGCAGTCCTGATGATGAGGCTGTGTGTCAGCTGGTCTCTGAAGGACAGCAGTTCAGGGAGAGTGGAAGTGGTCTTGTGGAGAATCGCATGAAAAGGTGTGTGAGTCTGGATCAAATTGCTAGTAAAGGAGCATTCCCATGGCGTTCAGGCCTCAGGAGCAGCAGGGTGGGATCAGCAGTAGGGCTCGATGGTTCTATGAAGAGCTTAAGTCTGCGAGGCACCCGCCAATGTTCACAGAGCATGTATCTTGACCTGGTCCAGCGTAAGGGTACGCTACCTAGACCTGGAGTCAAAGGTCGCTCCACATCCCTGCAGTCCCTCAACAGAGACTTTTCCTCAGATGCCCCTCCAGACCCTCCACCCAAACTTAAGCTCAGAGAGCCCAAGGTGTTTGCTGCCAGACATGGTTCCATTGATGATCCAGGAGGGAAGGACCAGGCCAGAGCGCTGCTTCACAGCTCCTCAAGTCAGCCTTCTGTGATCTCTGACCTGGTCCAGCTCCTGCGCTGCATCTCCAAGCAGCAAGTCTCTGCCCCTGCAGGGAGCCACATCCCTGTCCTAAAGAGGTTAAATACTGGCCCTCACAACCCCCGAGTCAAGCGCAGACACAGAGAAGCAGAATGGAAGTCTCTGCATGACCTTACAGAGGAATTTGATGATGAATACACTCCTGTCAGAGTGAAGGTAGTTGTTTTCAGTAATGCCAGCTGGGCAAAACGCTGTAGCAACAGTAATGAGCTGTGACAGACAACAGCTTTGCCGCTTAACATTGCTGGTATAAATACTTATTTTTTTCTTTACTGTTTTGTGTGTTCTCTGGATTTGCTTAGAAGCAGGATGAGGTCAGTCGACTGGAGTCCTACAACAAGCTGCTGACTGAAGAGCTCACCCAGACAAAAAGCACCAATGAGAACCTGACTAGAACACTGGAGGACACTCAGAATGAAAACAAGGTACATGGAGGTGACATTTTGCTCTATTGAATATTTTTTAATTAGACTGAGAGGTTTCTTTTAATAAGATAAGTTCTTTGTGTAAACAGAACCTGTTAGGGAAATTGGAGGAGAAGGGCAATGAACTCAACACAGAGAAGAAAAACGCTGTGAAGCGAGACAAAACAATCCAGGGGCTTACTCAGGTCCTCAGAGAAAAGGAAAAAGAGGTAAGGTTTATACTGTTATTAAAAATTTTTTTATTAATTTTAGGGATCATGAAAGTTCAACTGTGAAAATAGTGTATGCTCTCACTATTCTGTGTTATGCAATCGTCTAACACCAACCTGTCTGTCTTTCTCTCTGTGTATCACACAGATTGCAGAACTGTGTCATGAGATTGAGGACAGGGATGATGCTTTGGCCAAGGCTAGAGAGGCAGCACACAAAGCCCAACTGCAGAAATACCAGGCAAGTCCTACACCTTTTTATACAGTCCAAACTTTGAAGAAACAGTAAAGTGAATATTTTATAACTCTGTCTCATTGACAAATACTCACTGCAGTAAATATAAACATGTTTGCATATATCCCACAGGGAGTAGAGGAGCACCAAAATCTATTAATGGAAAAGCAGACCGAGCTGGCTCAACTCCAGGGGGAACACCATGCCAAGGTGCTCGAAGCCCAAAAGCTACAGCGCGCTCTGGACAGGAAGGAGCAAGAGCTGGCTGACTTGCAGCAGACAAAAGACCAGCTAGATGTGGAACTGGAGGACCTGCAACAGCAGAAAAAGAAAGGAGACAAAGCCCTGAATGTAAGACAGCTGGAGGACAGTGGTTGTCTAGTAAATATTTTCAAATAAAATTTATTTTTTATTGTCTCCAGACCAAAGCCATCTGACATTTTAAATCCTCTTTTATGTTTTCTGTCACCATTCAGTTATTGTCTATTGTGTGACCACATTATCATTCCCCCCACCCCAGGATTTGAACAATCAGCTCAAAAAGCTGAGTGGTGAGATTGGGGACAGGGAGAGTGCTCTGGAGCAGCAGTATCAGGAGCTGCTGGATCAAACCAAAAGAAAACTGCAGGCCCATGAGGTCACCATCCAGCGGCTCACATCCACTCTGTCTGATAAAGAGCAGCAGCTACAGGTGACACAACATTGAACATATACAGACAGATTCTAGACAAAAAGAGGAAATCTTGCCATTGAATTTATTCATATAGTTGACTTCCTACATTGTTTTTCTCTGTGTTCATCAGGAGTACATAAATATGGTCAGAGACTTTGAGCAAAGCAAAAGCCCAGGAGGAAACGATAATGTGCTTTCCAAGCTGCGGCAAAGGCTGAAAGAAAAGGAGAAGGCTCTTGAGGTGCACATTCCTTCTGTGTAATCTTCTCACCACAGTGACTATAATTTGATTCTGACGGTCTTCTGTTTGCTCTCTCACAGCAAGCGCTGGATGAGAAGTTTGCTGCCATTGAAGAGAAAGACAATGAGATACACCAGCTGCAGCTGTCCCTAAGGGAGAGGGAAAGAGACCTTGATAGGCTCAATAACCTGCTCTCTCACAATGAGGAAACCATTAATGTAAGCAGCTATGACCATGTTTTATTTAAAAAAAAAAAGAGAACTTTTCTGTTAGTTGGTAATGGAATTGTTGAATTTTGGACTGCTCATTCCTCTCCTTCCAGAGTTTTGACAGTCTGATCAAAGAGAAGGATGTGGAGCTGCAGCATCTTGCAAACACACTTAAGAACCTTCAGAGAGCCAAGCAAGATGTAGAAGATAACTTAAACAGATCTTTGAGGGAGAAGGACTCCATCATCAGCCAGCTTCAGCTCTCCCTGGAGGGCAAGAGAAAGGATATGGAGGTTAGTTAACAAAGAGAGTCCCCTCAGCACCCCTTCTTCTGTATTTTCAGCAATGTTTTTTCATCATTCTGGCCCAAAACATTTACAAACTCATCCTTGGATGTTTCTGAGGGGCAGTTATTGATTTGTTAACTGTCATTCGTTATTGTAGGAAATGGCCGAATCATTGCTGAGCCAGTCACAGACTCAGACCCGTGACCTCGCTGAACAGATGGGCCAGAGGTTAAAGGTCACAGAGGTTGCGTTGGCTGAGGCTGTTAAGGACAGGGAAAGACTGGTCGCTGACAATGAGAGTGCTGTGGAAGGACTGTTGGCTACAATCAGCAGCAAGGACCAGCTCCTCAAGGTCAATATTTTATTCTGAAAACATTTCCAATGGTTTCTTAGGAAAAGTTGGTCTTTCTAGCAACAAATAGTGATAGAATATAGCAAAGAAAACATAATAGCAAAACGTATAAAGTAACACACAAATGAGAGAATTAATTAAGAGTAACATGAATTACAGCATGCATGCAGGGTATTTATTTATTTATTTTTATTTTTTTTTTTTTTACAAAGAAAAGACATACAGTGTGCATTGTCTTCTCACTAAACACCACCTCTCATTACTTTCATCTTTTCCCAGGAGTCTGCAGAGCACTACAACCGCATGCTGTCTGAGCGCACTCAGGAGATTCAGGAACTGAGGAGGCAGCTTTCTGATAGGCAGCAACAGCTTGCCTCTGCTGAGAAGCAAAGCTCCACAACAGCCCAGGAGGGTTATTTAGAGACTGCAGAGCTCCGAGCCCTGCTCACTGAAAAAGACAGCATCATCAATGTAAGTTCCTCTGGGATACAACGCAGTTACTCAGCTGCAAAATGAGCTTGACTTAGAAGCCTAACAAGGAGAGGGAATCAAGCCTCTCAAAGAGAAAAACACTAAAGCGTCCGGTATACTCGACGCAGACCAACTGTCGCGCGACAATGCTCATCTCCTTCATTCTTCCTTCAAATGACTTGGTGTCCTATTGCATCATCTTTGATTTCTGGATCATTTAAACATGGCTGTGTTGTTATGTGTTTGTAACTTTGCAGAAGCTTCTGCAGCGCGGTCAGGAGAGAGACCAGTTCCTGGCAGAGATGAGGCAGAGGGAGGAGCCAGAACATGTGCTGGAGCTCAGACAAACTATCCAGATAATGCAGGAGAAGTTGGACGAGAGGGAAGGTGAGACCTTTTAGACCTTTAAACCCTCTCACTGGATATTTATAAGTCAAGAGTACATGTCGGTCCTACATTTGATTCTATTTTGTCTGTGCTGAAGCTGAGCTGTCCAGGAGGAGCAGCGAGGATAATGTGGAGTACATTCCTCTCTCCAAGAAAACGGTGGTCGTCCTGAAGAAGGAGCTAGCACAAAAAACTGAAGCACTGAACAAAGCACTTAAGAGGGAGAATGAACTGAAGGTCAGTTGGTTATAAGTGTTTTACTATGTCACTAATCAGGACTTTTGCTAACAAGTGTCCTTTTGTATAATCCCCTGGTTTATTTTTTTTTTTAATATCCAGATAACTTTGGCAGAGCTACAGTCATTGCTATCTGAGCTGGAGGGTCACAATGAAGGTCAGGCTGCTAATATTGAGTCCCTGACTGCCACTCTGAAGACCAAGGATGAGATTATCAATGTAAGGATTTCCCCATTCCCAGAATCAGACTCTTGTCACTCAATGAAATACTCAGCAACTTTAGATAAGGAGCTTTTCACCTGACTGCATTTGCACTCAGAGGCTACTCCTCTAGAGTTTCCCATGTTTTGTTTGTGTCTCTGAGCAGGTTCTCCACCAGCGCCTCGGTCAGAGAGGGGACAGTCGGGCTGATCATACCCAGGATCAGGTCATTGGCCATGGCATGGAGAGATCACTCCCTGGGCTCCCTCAGAGAGAGAGGACCATGATTGGTGGAGACAGTCAGCAAGAAGTAAACCTTTTCACTTCAATGATACCAGAAAACAACATATTTTACTCTTAATGCTTTGATATTAAAACCATTTCCTTTTAATTTTCTGTCTTCCTTAAGGCTTTGCCCAACCTTATAGCCTTGCAACAGGAGCACGATGCTCTGAACAAAGCCCTGAGAGCCGAACAACAGCTCTACTCCAGCCTGGTCAGGACTGTAAAGGAGCAGGACAGGTAGGGATAATGGTCACAGTAACAAGAAATATTTGCAGTTAAAAGTGAAAATGAAAAAATTTGATTAGGTTAATGTATTTGATAATTCTGATCTGTGTCTATGAATGCATGTTTTTGCAGTGCCCAGCGTCTCCATGCTCTGCAACTGGAGCTGGCAGCAGTGCAGCTCCTCAGGCAGCAGCTGGAGGACAGCATCAAAACTAATGAGGAGCTAAGGGATGACTTGGAGAGAGAGATACACAGAGCCAAACTCAGAGAAGGTGCAGTGCAAACACACTGGGTGGTAAATGACGATGGGGACTCAATTCAAGAAAAGAACCAATGATAAAACATGAAAGTAAAAAGAAAGGGAAAGAGCATATTTGTCGCTAAGGTTGTTATTCAAGTTAGGGAAGTATAGCTCAGGGCGACGTATATCCATAGCTCATAGACAACACACACATACACAAACACACCTGTCGTCTTTGTCCTGTCTGTTTGCTCCACTAATATCTCCCGCTGACATGCTCACATCCTCTTTTTATCTGTCACATGATTCAGCATGCACACCTGGTCCCTCCATTCCTCATCTTTGTGCACTTTATGTTCACTGTTCTTTACATCATCACCTCTTCATCTGCATGTTTTGTCCATAGCATGGTTGCTACCTGTCTCTGTCACTCTTTAAATGTAATGGCTTCACACTAATCCACTCTCTGTCTGTCCTTTGTAACAAAATGAATAAAGGCTGCTGTTGGCCGGTCTTCTTGTCTCTCACTCTTAACATGCTGTCTGCTTGTTTTTGACTGCCCCATTAAAACATTTGGTTGTTTGCTGATTGCATCACCTCTCTATCACCCCTCTGGTTATTAATCCAGCCCATCCAACCATCTGCCATATGAGTTAGATTTCATTGCATAAGCATGACATTATATAACAACTTTAAGAAAGGTATTAAGGGTTTTACACTGCCCACATGATCTCGTACTGTAGAGTAACTTCCCTGAAAATCCAAATTAGAAGAAGAAATTTGTGAGTTTATTATCTTACAGCATCACCTAGTTAATGTAATTTAGCACACTTAATGCTTCAGATGTAGTGTGACATCAGGACGCAGCCTTGAGACTGATTAAAAGTGTCACTATACGCTTAGGTAGTCATCTAAGCCAAATTACTTCAGTGTCTGTCTACATGCATGTGTGTGCTCGCCTATGTGTGCTCGCCTATGTGTGCATGCTCATCCCCTGCCCCTGTCTAAAGAGACCCAGGTGTATAAATAGGTCAACTGTAAGTAACAAGCCTATGGCTCACATTCACACTGAATCCAAGAGAGATGTAGCTTCAGTAATCACCACTGATTCAATTTCCATATTTCTTGTTTTTGCTTATGTAATTATTCTAAAATACAATAGTACATTGTAACGTGTGCATGATACATGTAGATTCTATTTATATATGTAATACTTTATTTTAAGACCCACCCTTTTTGTGGTTTAAGGGTTTAATAATGCAGTTCTATGCAGCTATAAGGACATTTTTAAGTGTTCATTAATGCACAGTATTTATCAACAAGTATAACTTCTCACAGGAAGACATTTCACATTATAACTGTGTTTAACTGTATTGTTATTCATTGTCTGTTTATTCACCATCCTCCACTTACGGGTGCCCACAGGAGGGGTTAAAATTGTCAACAGCTACATCAAGCCATATATCTGCTTACAAATACATTATAGTGTGTTAATATTTATTAAATTAAATTAGTTTGTTTATTTTATTTAGTCTATATATTGCTTGTATATGTTCATATGTATTTAACAAGCATACCAAGATACATCAAATGCATTCTAAAAATATATATTTTTCTCAAGAAAGAATATAAATAAGATTTAGTTTACATGCATAAAGGCATAGATGTACAGTAGTTTTTACTTTCTAACCTCTAACATAAAGTCAGACAAAGTCTTAACTATTGTATGTCTGTCCAGGTATGGACCTGATTGATCCTAAAGAACTGGAGAGCATGAGACATCAGCTGGAAGATGCACAACGCTGGAATGCCTCTCTGCAGGCTCGCTTAGGAGCCATACAGAACCGTGGAGGAGGGGTTGGTGGAGCCATTGATGGTGGTAAGAGTGCAAAAATGCACTTCATGTCTTATTCCTGAGTTTCTGTAGGTGGGCCTCTTTTCATTACAAGGGACTCTAATGTTTTTCAGGTGACACTTTGAGTTTCATTGGAGATCAGACTTCCTACATGAGTATCTGTGTGGGAGAGGGGCAAGATGACAGCTTGTCTCTGCTGTCTGCACAGGAGCTCAGGCAGAAGGTGAACACTATGTTTAAATATAAGTATTGTCTCTGTCTAATGAATATAACAGTAGACTTTAAATAGTTAGGAAAACAATTATGCAGATGGATAAAAATGAGTCCTTCTGGGCCTCAGGTGCTGGAGCTGCAGGATTGTGTCAGCAGACTGCAGACTTTAAACAGCGAGCTGCAGAACCGGCTGTCACTGTTGGAGAAGTCAGACCAGGACGCTTACGACAAAGACCACAAAGACGTGGCCAGCAGTAGCCCCTGGAAACAGGTTAGAGTCCACAGAAGATAGACTTCAAATTGAGCTGTCAAGGTTTATTTTCTAACCCTTTCTGTCTTTTCTCAGCAAATGTTTGTACAGCTTGTCCACATTTAGCAAATACTTGATAAATCATGTCTGAGTCATTGTCTAACATCCACCTTTTTTAGCTCCTTTCTAACCTTTGAACCTACATCTTAACCTATGCTCTGTCTAGCCTGTTACTAATGTCTCTTTACTGTATGTCCTATTTCTCTAACAAGTATGTTTATTGTCTGTAGTAGAAGATACCCTCTTTTTCTCCTTCATCTTTCCTAATCACTCCCTCTTTTTTATCTCTGTGTCCCATGAAATGGTCTCTCTTCGCCATACCACATTAGACACGTCATACCATTCTGCTGTTGCTGTGCAGTGTTTTATGGATTCTGTTCCCTCATTAAGTTTTCTTTTACCAAGCCATGTGTGTCATACTCGCCTCCCATCCCATTACTCTAGCAGCTTGAGAAGACGCAGGAGATGCAGCCTGTGGCTCACAGTAAGAGGACGCATCACCGTGGTCAGGACAAAGAGAGTCAGACAGACATCAAAATAGGACAGGTATGAAATAGATAATCATTTAATATCTTCTGAGGAATATATTTTAAAATAGTTGAAGACGAACTTCCCCTTTTCATGCAACTTAACTTCTCAACCATCCCTTTTTAGATGGTGTCTGGAAAGATGTTGGTTGATATGAGTATGGACAGTGGCTTTGGCCAGAGTAGAGAGCATGCTCAGTCTGGTAATGACACCTTGGACACTGCAGATAAAGATTCTAGGGAGAGGAACACAGATGCAATGGCACTTAAATCTCTGCTGACTGATAGTGGGGCTACATCCGTCTCACACCTCAGGTAGGTATTTTCCTCAGCAGTGTCCAAATCCTACTCCTTATTCCTCATTCCTCATTCTTACTTAAGAGTCAGTTGCCTGAACAGTAAACTGATCAAATTTCCCTCATTGCAGAGAGGAGCTGCTCAGACTTAGATCAGAAAATGCAGAGCTGCGGGGTCTCCTGAAAGAACAAAAGTCTACCGAATGTAAAGAGAAAGAGAGCACAGATGCCTCAGGGAACAGCAGTGATGGACAGGCTGAATTGAGAAAGAGTGTGGAAACCCTGCAGGCAGAGTCAAATCATCCCTCTAAGGTCATCAGTCTGTCGAAGGAGGTGTTAGATGAGGAGACGCCTGTCACCACTGAGCTAATTGTCAGCACCACAGGGGACATTGGGAGTCCACAAACTAAAGGCCAGTCACACAGCAAGAGTACAGTGCAGCATGTCGCAAGGCATGGGGTAAGTTTTGTATTATGGGAAGAGTGTAAAGAAGTAAAACATTGCTCTCTGCATCAAGTCAAGTGTTTTTAATATCTGTTCCATTTGTTTCAATTAAAGGCTGGTGTCAGATCTCGCCTCCCAGTCCCTTTGAGGCCGAGAGGGGAGTCTAGCAGCAGCAGGCAGTCTGACCATCTGAAAACTCATGCACTTCAGCACAATCATTTGGATGATGTCTATGGGTCTGACCAGCAACTGCACATCGACTCTGACTCCCCCATGTCACCCCAGCACAGCACTTCCCCTTCTTCCACACTGAGGTATGCACATCGTAGCGGCAGTCCGGTTGGTTCAGAGAAGGCCTCTGAAGCCATAACAACACTGGATCACACCCAAGACGACTCCGTTCTTTTCACTCAACTGGAGCTTCTCCACCAAGAGTGTCAGGAGAAAGAGACCCTGATCCATAAGCTAAGTGAGCAGCTAGCTGATTGGGAAGAGCTCCATGCTCAGATCCAGGAAAAGGAAAGGCTAAATCGCCAGTATGTGGAGGCCTTGCAGGCTGCAGAATCCACTATTGCTTACCTGACCGCCTGCAGTCTGGACAGCCAGGGAGGATTTGGATCGCACACCAGTTCGTGCACAGGTCCTGGCTCTTTGGGTTCAGATGCTGTCCTGTACAGCAGATGCACAGAGCTGCAAAAAGCACTGCAGGAGAAGGAAGAGCTCAACAGCCAGCTTATAGAGCTCCTTAACATGGTGGAGAAATCCATCACCTCCCCTGACAGCCAAGAAAGAAATCCAGAAACCAGTGATTTATGTTTGAAAATAGAGACGGCCTTGACGCAGGTCAACGCGTCTTCAAGTAGACCAAGAGGTGTTTTTGGAAGCACAGAGGACTCTATGCAGGAGTTGCAACAACATGCAGACTCTTTGCAGGAGGCACTGAGCGAGCAGAATAGGCTTAATGCTGAGCTGCAAGAAAAACTGAGAGCTGCAGACGCTGCTGCTCAACATGGCTACAACGGTAACAGTGCAGAGTCACTTAAGGAAAGGGAGTCAAATGAACACCAGTGGGGAGTGGGAAGTTCTGATAATGTCAGTTTAAATCAGGAGATGACCAAAGTTCTACTGAACTGTCTTAGTGCAGCAGAGTCTGCCGTTGCTTCTCTGGCAGCACACTGTACAAATACCAGCTCCTTAGCTTCTGGCAGGTCATCACAGATCAGCCCTGACCTGCAAATTAATTTAGACAAACTTCAGAGAGCACTGCAGGAGAGGAAGGAACTGGGAGAACCCACCCAGTCAACCGCCATATCCAGCGGCAATCAGTCCGCCGCAACATCTGGGACAAAGGGACAACTTCACCAAGAGCTCCATAACAACCTCTGCTGCCTCTACAAGGTCTTCAGTGATCACTGTCAGAGAATCTCTGAACTCCAGGCTTCCTTACAAGAAGACAGGGGCCGTAGAGAGGAGAGCAAGGACCACAGGACAGTGCAGGATGCCAAGGGATTACCACCGAGTGTTCAGGTCCAACTGGAGACTCTCCACAAGGCACTGAGGGAAAAGAAGAAAGCATGTAAGAGCCTGGAAGAGAAATTGGCCACTGCTCTTACCAACACATCTTCCCCTGAAACTGCTAGGAAAGGTAAGACAATGCATGCTGAGCTGTTTGTTTCTGTTTGAATTGTGCATGAACAATTCAGATTTGTCATACATTTTGTGATTCTGCAAAGGCGTGTGTGTGTCAAAGTTAAACCCTTTAGTTAATCCAAATTGATCAGGAACATGATTAAGGAGAGCGACAAGATTCTGTACATGTCAAATGATTTCTTCCTAACCCAACGTATATTGCCTCCACTGCCAGCTCTGGATCAGGATGACAAAGGCGTGCAGGTGGATTTGCAGGACCTGGGTTACGAAACCAGTGGCAAGAGTGAGAACGATAGGGAAGAGAGCAGTAGCACAGGTAGACGGCTTCTAGACAGACATTGCATGTCTGTCTGCTGAGTGGACACTAATCTCAAATGTGGATAGATTCTCTCTATATGTCTGCATGAGGAGTGAACAGGTGCAACTGTAACACACTGTGTCTTACCTTTTTTAAGAAATGTTTTCTCTTTGGGTCTCATAACCTCACACTGTCTGGTTTTAATCTGGTATTTCTCTGCACTATTCCCAAATTTGAATGGGCCGTCAATACTTGACATTGACGAATTCTTGCATGTTTCCACTCTGAAGTTTGGGAATGTCTTTCGAGCACTCATTAACATTCACTTTTATTTCTTGTCTTATTTCACAGTCCGACTGTATCTCAAATGATTATCACCATTCACTATCACCATTTGTTTTCCACAACTTGTAATGTTTTCCTGTTCCCTTGTTGATTGTTTCTGTGTCCCTTGTGTTTCCAGATCTAGAGGTTGGTGTGAAACCTAGCTGCAGTGCCTCTAGCCTGCCTTCCTTGCTGAAACACGAGCAGGCCACATTCTCCTCTACTGAAAACCTGGACTCAACCTCCAGCACCCCGTACCCAAGTTCCCCAGCGCTCAGCTCAGCCAAGGTATTTGACTTACTTTCACCAAACCCCTCCCTTGAACAAGCTGTAAGGAGGCAGAACAAGTCTGTCAAGCTTGGGGCTGTAAGACCAATACTCTCTATTTAAAGGGGTTGGAGGGGGGGTGTTTAGCCCTTCCAAAACCGAAAATAGTAAAAAAAAAGTGTAAGAAATGCATTAAGGTGTGTGTTTGTCTACTGTACACTGCGATCGTTAGCGTGTAAGGCTTACTAGCTTACTCCCTACATTAGTAGCTAATTAACTACATTAGTTTGTTCTTCACAACTGCCACGTTCACTGTGTAGTATTTCCCCTTTGCCCTGCATGCCACCAACACATGACAGTGTAGGCTAATGTTAGCAGCTCTGTCTTCCTCTTTACTGTAGCTGAGGAAGTTTACATTCCAGCAACCCCAGCAAACGTTACCCGTTTCGATTGCCAAACAAACGGGTTAGTCCTTATCCTCTTCTCTTGCTGTGAGAAAAAGTGAAAGAATTCTGTTCAAAAATACAAAGTATGCAAGGTAAGCAGCCAAACAAGGTTATGTTGGAACAAAATAACGTACTGATTTTATATTTTTCCTTATCATACTATCATACTAATACTGGGACTAACTAGCTGTCCACGGCAATAATGTTCCAATCATCTGCTGGTGAGGGTGTTGACTTTTTGGCTGGGAAATGCAGCATTATTTTTAGTTTTAGTTAGTTTTGTTGCATTTAATTACAATTTGTAAAAATCGTGCAACCCAAAATATCAGTAGAAACTGATAGTTGAATGTTATTAACCCTTTCCTGTCTGTTTTCAGGTCAGTCTGAAAAGCCTGCAGGTCTATGATGAGTACGGCGTTTCTGAGGACCCTCTCCAGCTAAAGGGACAAGTCAGAGAGCTGAAGGTCCAGCTGGAAACCCAGACCAAACTCATCCTCCAAATGCAAAGTCTTCTGCGTAGGAACTCTCTCTCCAGTGACCTATTTGCCAGCACCTCTGATCCCTCAACTGTCCGGGATCAAGAAGGGACACAGAGAGAGGACCACAGCCAAGACAGAAGCGGGCAGCTAAGGGAGAAAAAGGAGGGGGAGAGCCAGGCGATGAAGGATAAAACCAGACGTCTGAGTATGGAACTGGAAAGAGAGAGGACACTGAACAGAAACATGAGTGAACAGCTGCAGCAGACCCGCAGCCGCTCTACTTCACCTGCAAGGTCAACAGCCTTTTTCAGTGCATTATCAATGTTATACTATTTTTAGAGTAAAAGCTGCACAGTCATTTTTATAATCGAATCTTGACTCATGCTGTCTGTCCCCCCCCCCAATTGCCCCCATTCTGTCTTCTCCATAGACTGGACTCCCTGGTGCAGTCACAGGCCAGGGAGCTGTCACAACTGAGGCAGCAGATCAAGGAGAGCCGCAGGCTGGGAGCCCTGCAGCGTCGGCAGCTGGAGGAGCTGAGCAAGGCCTTCAAGGAGCTGCTGCAGGACAGCCAAGTTGACTACTATATGGGAGAGGTGGTCAAAGAGCAGCTGGACAAGAGCCTGGGCATTCTGGACAAGCTTGAGGGACGGCTGGACAAAGGTAGCTGCTGCCGTGAAGTGTGCCTTGAGAAACGGAGCTAATCAGACACAAACTGCACAACACAGTTAATTATTTGATTCATGATACAGCACTATGCCAAATCACACAAAACTCCAGTCAACACATGCAAATAAAGAATAAAAGTTAATAAATATTTAATAAAGTTAAAGGCAGGTACTAAGTTTTAAAAAGCATCTGTGTTTGAGTCATATTAAAACAGTACTGCACAAATGTCTTGCTGCTTTAACCAAGAAAGAGCCACAAGCAGAGAGAGACGAACACAAAAGAGCAGTCATTCGTAAGTGATTTTTACAGACAGGTCTTTGACAGCATCTTTTCCTCTGTCTGTTAGGAGAGTCTCATCTGGATAATGAGGATGTGGCAGCTCTGGAATTGTCTCGCAGGTACGTCTCAAACTCTCAAACTCTCAAACTCTAATGTTAAATACAGAAAAATTGTGCTGTGTTTATATTTTTACCAAAAAAAAAGCAATAGGGTTTTTTTTGCAAAAAGTTTGATGAGAAGATTGATACCACTGTCATGTCTGTTCTGTAAATATAAGACTGGAGCCCGAATCCACTGTAGGAGACAGCTTGAATCAGCCTGGCTCTGTCCAACAGAAACAACAACATAGAAAGTCCACACAATATTTTAAACTGCAAATTGTCTTCTTTACACTTCACTGGACAGAGCAGAGTTTCCACCTGATCTCCGTCATTGTGCTAAGCTAAGCTAGCCAGCTGCTGGCTGTAGATTTCTATTTAGATGTGACAGCTGCATCAGTCTTCTCATCTGAATCTTGTCAAGAAAGCGAATTTGCATATTTCCCAAACTATTCCTTTAATGACATGGTTGTTACTCATGAGATGAGCCTTTATGCAGTCTACTGCCCTTAAAACCCCACCAGTATGTATTGGTCTTTAGTATAAACTTACATATACGTTTATATGTAATAATGAGCTGTTGCCACTCTACTAACATGTTTTTACCAATCACTGTCAATGCTGTGAATATTTTACTAGTTTTGTGTCTTTCTTTTGTACGGTTCTGTTTTTTTAGGTCACATTATACGTTACTGTTTGAGATTTAAGTGTCGTTGGCTGAACTGTTTTAGTGTTTGTCTCATGACCCTTTTTAAAGACCACCCCCCACCTCCACCCAGCCAATTGCCTTATGACCCTGGGCGGTGCGTGTGTGTGTTGGTTTTGAATAGCGTCCTGCTGTTGACCTAATTTTTTCTGTGACAGCCAAAACATTAAGGTTACATTGCCCCTAACTGGGTCACTGGTGTCTCTGAGAAAATAGAGGAGGGGCACAACACATGTCAATGTTTATCAATTTATGTCCCCACAGTTCAATCAATATCATCCAGAAAGCAAATTTCATTATTATATATATATATATATATAAGCTTTGCATAAATCACCAAGGTAACTATATTTGTTCAGTTCAGAAACTTAAAAAAAAAAAAAAGTCTTCAGTTCAGTTTTCTCTTAGGTTCAATTGGGAATAAAAGTAAAATTGTAGTATCTAAAAACTTTTATTTAACTTCTATTTATTTACAGTAACATTGTAGTACTCTTGTGTCATTAGAAACTAAAGTTGCTAACAATGACATGCGTTCATCCATATTATTACTGATGTGGGCAGTCATGGGGAGCTTCAGCAGGGATCACAGTCACTGCTGTTCCATGAGGAGAGCATGAGACATCCTCCTGACAGCCCGGCTAGAATCCAGCAGGAGATAGATAATCTGCGTGTGGAGCTAGAGGGCGAGAGAGAGCTGCTGCAGGGGCACATCGGCCTCCTCGTCCAGCAAAACCTCGCCCTGGCTGAATACACCAGGGAGCAGCTGGACCTGTGAGTGGGTTTGATCCGGACAGACAGCATGACGTGTGCTGTGAAACTCCTATTTCATGTTCTCCAGCTGTGTGTTTCTGCTCAAAGTCCTCTGGTTAAAAACATATTTCCCTTGACGTCTTCACTTGTCTCTTTTTTTTTTGGGTGCTATTCCACACGTTTTATCATATTCATTCACATTCATATTATTTCGCTCTCCAGCTCCCAGCGAGATGATGTAATGGATGAAATCCAGCTGTTGGGTCCTCTGGGAGATGAAGTATTAACATGACTAATTCCCCTCCTCCTCCTCCCTCCTCCTCCTCCTCCTCCCCCCAGGTTGGCTAAAGAGCTGCAGGAGAAGAACCGTGTGATTCAGAGCCTGCAGAGCCAGTTAAGAGGCCAAAGTCCCAGCAGCCACCACAGCTCTCACTCTGATCTGTACCACTCAGACAGGACTTCCTCCTCTTGCTACAGCAGCCCGACCACACAGGGTGGCAGTCGAGCACACAGTAAGCACAAAGACTGTATGTTCATACGAGCCTCAGACTAGATGTAATACTTTAAATATAGTCTTACTAATACCAAGTCAAATTATAGTCTTAAGTGTCACAGACGCTGTACCCAGCCAGGTACAGTGTGTCCTAGACTGCACTAGGATTAACTCAGTTTGCTCCATTAAAAATGCATATTTTTCCCTTATCTTGCCTCTGTGGTATATTGAGATTATCTGAATCCTTGTCCGCGGGCCCCGGCAAGCCTAGTCACAGCCTGTAATGGCACTTATTTTCCACTCAGATCCATTCTGTTGCAGCGAGGCGTCCCGCAGGACAAAGCATGCCGGCCAAGGGCAGAGCAGGTGTCCAGTTTCAATCCACCTCCACTTAAAGTTGCATTATTCAGTGGCACCTATCCGGTTCAATCTTCAAATTGTGTTTCCCTCGGGAAAAGAGACAGTGGAGGCTATTACAGCGACAAGTGAAGCATGTAGATACGCGAGAGGTTTTGCAGAGGGGCCCAAACTCACCTTACTGTTAGTGCTACAACGCCGTAGTTGCAGACACTTAACCTGTTTGGCTCCTTTACATTGCAGTGGTTTATCTTGTTCTGTTGCTACTTGTGTTAGTGTAGAAGATACTGTGGAAGGTGGAGTCATGACCTAATGTTAATTTAGGGATTTAATAATGAGTAATGAGGAGTAACACAAAGGTTTTTCACACATAAATTATGTTAAAAGACCACGGGAAAGGATGGTGAATATCTATATTTTACGTTCACCTGTTCCCTGTACACGTTTAGGCCAGCGACACCTCACCGACTGGACAGGAGCGGCTGTCCCTCCCGTAGGAGGAGCTCAGGAGGAAGGTGTGTCCAGTGCGAGCAGACTGCAGGGCCTGCAGAGGGAGAACGGCCGACTGCAGGAGCAGCTGAGGGGCAGCGAGGAGCTCAACGCCACCCTGCGCAGTGAACTGGACCTGCATCGCTCGATTATGGCCCAGACCAGCTCCCACCATCAGGAGCAGGATCACAACCACGACCAGGACAGATCAGGGCCCCAGACGGACACTCAAAAACGAGACGGAGACGCTGGCTCACAGAAAAACGCTGCTGAACCGCCTTGCGCGATGAATTCAGGTAACTATGGGGCGTCGGTAGATAATGTTAGTTAGACTTTCCATTTAATAACGCACTTAAACAAGTGTAGACTTCGGCTTTTGTTATTTGAAAACAAGCTAATTGTGGTTTGTGCTTTGTATGTTCACTGTGTAGCTCAGCTTGGGCTTGGAGAGAAAAGAAAGACAAGGACATTTACCATCAACTGTGGGTTTAACAATAGTAGTTATTAGGTTGCATTATGGGAAATGTGGGGTGTAGTATGTTTGTAGTTTTACCCATGCTAGGGACAAACAGTGGGGATATCTGGGACTCTTCTGCTTAGATATTGTCTCTTCCAGTTTTAATCTGTCTTTTAAGCCATGTTTTTTTATAGAAGTGCAATATAAATCCGCTTAGAATACCCCTTTTAATTCAGCTTTGTGCATGTGTCTGTCAGACTTGCTGGGAGAACACCTACAGGAGATCCGAGCTTTGCGGCAGCGGCTGGAGGAGAGCATTCGCACCAACGACCGTCTCAGGGAACAGCTGGAGAAGAGACTAGCCGAGGTGGAGAAAGACCCAGGTACGCACCCGAAATCACCTGCATCTGTTTCTTTCTCACTGTCCGTCAGAGTGATTTATTAGAAATGAGTCGTGCTGTTATCTGTTGACTTGACCAGCGTGTGTGTGTATGTGCTCGTGCTCAGCAGCCACCAACATCTTCATCCACGGCAACGAGGAGCAGGGTCAGCTGGCCAATGAGTTGCGATTCCTCTGGGGACAAAACCAAGCCCTGAAGGATCAGCTCAACATGGGGTCTAGAGGTAAAACACACACTTTCACACGAGCTCACTTTAACGTAGAATCAGGAACACATACACACCTTTTTAGCCTGTAGAGCAATAGAGGTAGAGAGAAAATACTTTTCCAGATACCCATTTGCCCGAATCTCTCACTAATACAGTGCTAACTTCCTGATATTTCCATTTTTCTCCAGACAAGCAGAAGGAGAACGAGAAGCTACGGGAGACTCTGGCACGGCGGACGGCCAAACTGGAGCAGAGCAGGAAGGAGTGCGAAACTCTGAGGCAAGAAAACAGTCGGCTGCAGGAGAGGCTGGAGCACAGCAGCCAAGAAAACGCACAGCTGCAAGACACATTGCACTACAGCAAGGAGGAGTTCCACAGGTACACACACACACACACACACACACAGACACACACACACTATCATTACTACTCTCCTTCATGCAACCTGAACCTACACAAGGCTGCTAATTACCATTCTAAAGAGTCATTACTATTGCTATTATTCCGTACTATTTGTACAACTCAGAAACGTGATAGTCTATTATTTGGAGGCTCGTCCATGAGCACACACACGCATACGTACCGTAATGATGGTACGTGACCTTTTGCCCCAGGTCCTACTAACACAGCTGAGTGAGGCTGACACCTGAAACCTGGAGTCTAGTTTACTGTCAGATCACTTCTCCTCTCCCTTTCCTTGTGTCCTCAGTGTGTGTGGTTTTGTGGACTACTATATAAACAAGGCCTATTGTTGTTGTATTTTTGTGAGATTTAATTTAATTTAAAATGATACATTTCACCCAGAGTTTACACTCCGTTGCCAGTTTATTAAGTACACCTGACTAAAACTAATGAATAGTAAAATCTAACTCATTAGCTTTTAGTGCTCAGTTTTTGTTGGAGCTGCTTTAGAGAGCTGTTGATTCAGCTTTATTACTCGTACTGAATGGTGTTTCTCTATCTGCTTTAATATAAATGGACTGAGGACAGTTCAGAAAACTCTTTTCAAGTGAAAATTGAAGCGGTTATAGAAAAGAAAAATTGGGGCAAAACACAAATGACTTCCTGCTTATGTAACGGTTCTTCAAATACATCTCTTTAACAATATAGGTTACAGTTAGGAGAGTTTGAGCTGCATTGCCACCAGGATGCCCCAACAAATATTTTTAACCCAATTGTCACCCTTTTTTAAATAATAATAAACTAAGGAACCATACATAGACACACAAATAGGTTAACAGTAGACCACCCTCTCTATTTCCTAATTACAGATATAACAGATTACATTTTTAAATCTTTTTTTTCTCATTGAATTTCGGTGTATGTCTGTCTGTCTGTCTGTCTAGGCTGCAGTGTGAGGTGAAGCTCCAGAGGCAGCAGCTGTCTGACTCTCAGCATCTTCTGCAGTCACTGCGGGTGGAGCTGCAAGTTTACGAAAAGATCAAGACCGAATCTCAGAAACACAACGGTACTGCAAGTTATTAAAGAGCCTATTGACGTGTTCTGTTTAAATAGCAACAGAGTGAGACAAGAATGACTCAGCAACAACTACAAATCATCAGAATTTTACAATGTTTTAGACCTTTAGCCTAGTCTTTGCAGCCAAACAGATTTTACCTTTCTACCTTTGAGTTGGGCTCTGTTTTTATTCCTTTACAGCTGTGTGTATAATATAAAACCACTGATACTGTGCCCAAATAGTAATGACTTTTTAAAAGCATCTCACAGAGTAAAAATCCCTGCACTCTTTGTTAACACTGGCGTTGTCCTGCTCTGAACCTGTTTCCTGTTGTGTAACACCAATAAGATCACGTTTCCCTCTCCTTCATTGTTCCTCCAGAATCCGGCGAGTCGACCCAGGAGCCCGTCTCCGTCCCTCCCTCCGGCTCAGTGGACCTGAATGAGCTGCTGCTGGAGATCAGACACCTGAGGCTGCAGCTGGAGAGGAGCATCCAGACCAACACGGCCCTGCGACAGAGGCTGGAGGAGCAGCTGCTCAGAGGACCCAACCGCTCTGAAACCATCAACATCAACTACCTGCTGTCCTCTCCAGGTAAACACACGCTCACTACAGGTGACAGATACAGAGGCATTTAGACACACACACACAGGAAACTGCCAGGTCACGTCAGTGTTGGTTTTATTTTTGTCTTAGACGAAGGAGGCAGGTCACCAGGGCGGGAAGGCTGCGATCCTCTCCGTCACTCATTTCAGAGTCACGAGTACACCAGTGTCCTCCACGGTAAGAACGCCTCATCACGATGTTTAATTACAGCAGCAAATACGAGCCTTTACAGACTGTCAGTGTGTGTGCATTTCAAAAACACCTGAACGTGCTTCAATCTTTTCAGAGGAGAAACGTCGCGCTCATTCGGAGGTTGACAAAGGATCCGTCAGCAGCAGCTCCGGCGAAAGCGTCTCTGGTGCCCCCTCTCGCCTGGTGCCAGGCCACAGGATGTGGGCCAATCGCAACGGCCGCCATATTTTGGGTCTGATTGAGGACTACAGTGCCCTGCGCAAGCAGATTTCAGAGGGCCGTAAGCTGTCACACGGCATGGACGCACAACTGCAAGAGTGTCTGCACACATTCAGTCAGCAGGGCTCCGACAACAGGGTACAGCTACCACGTTTAAGATGTTTCAGTTGCAGTTAGTGTTGCACTGATTGATAATTTGTTAATGTGAAGGGTGAACTAAGGTTTTGATACTTTCATAGGTGATGGAACAGCAGTATCTGAAGAGTCTGTCCGGCAGCATGAGCACCATGCAGCACGTGTTGGATGAGGCTGGTCGACTGCTCAAACTGGTGTGGAGGGTCTCTTTGCCGGCTGGTAACACGGCAGGGGACAGCGGCAACAACCAGCAGGTAGACGTGCACAAACACATATACTGTGTCCAACCCAATCCCATTAAGTATCTACGGAAACCAAATCTTAATCTTTTCATCCTCCATATCAGGATGAGCTGCTGAAAAACGAGATAGCCAGACTGAAGAGCAGGCTGTCACAGCAGGAGAGGATGCTGAGCGGAGCCGTTAAACGCCTCCGAACAACCAACCAGCTCAAAGAGGGAATGGAAAGAGTCATCATCGATCAGTGTAAGATTATTTTCTTTTACTTAAGACAGTTTATACTCAACTACAGAGCTGCAAGCAGAAGGCAGTTTGTGATAAGCTATTTTGATAAGCCATTTATCGTGCCAAACACTGTCTGCTTCTCTAACGTGAAAACAATCTGAAAACATCTTTTTAGGATTCTTTCTCATTTTCATGTCATTTTGTAGACAAAAGAATAAATCAGAAGAATAAATCAGTTTCAGCTCGACTGTATACCAGTATGTAAATAAACTGAGGTATCTGACTTTTATATTTTCCTCTGTATAGTGTGTCTAACCCACGGAGTCTTGAAGAAAGCCAGGGGGAATTTAGAGGTGAGTTAACCAAAAATTAAAAAGCCCCATAACATGTCAAACTTGTGTTTTTGTCCGCAGTGGTGACTTCTGCTTCAGTGAATCACTCTTCTTTTCCTTCTCATTCTTTTAAAATAATGATAGACAAATTACTGTACCCTCATTGGCCTGAAAGGCTTGTCTGGAGGACCAGACGAAGGTTAGTGGGGTTGAGGAGCAGGCTTTGAAAGTGATCTGATGCATGAGATCCATGAGACCCTGTTGATTTGGTTTCCTTTATTGCATGAAGCAAATACCAAAATATGAATGTATCATAAGATACTCGGAGTTTCCAGTTTATTTTGTAATAATAATGATTTAATAAATCCTACTATTGTGTCTATTTTGGACACTTTGATTAAGGTTTAGTTGGCCATATGTACTAAACTGTAAATGAATCCTATTGTGTTTGAGTGACTGTGAGGAAAAATCTGAATTTATGATGCATGATCAGCTTTTTCTACTTGTGTGAGGCATCTGTGAAAGAACAGTTCGACATTTAGGGAAATGCGCTTATTTGCTATCTTGTTGAGTTATGCTCTTATAGCTGTGAAGCCACAACGAGGAGACTGGAAGCAGGAGTAACAGCGGGCCAGGCTTCCCAGAGGAAACAAAAAATCTGCCTACCAGCACCTCTAAAGCTCACTAATGAACATATTATTGTTTGTTCGAACAAAAACCAAAGCGTTTGTGCGCTGGTTGGCTGACGACAAGACTCCATAAAGGCGACCTGCCTGGAGCACACAACTTATGCCTTTACACTTTGTTTAGATTAAACAAACAAGATATAAAATGTGCTGGTAGGTTGATTTTTTGAGCTTTGGACAGAGCCAGGTTAGTTGTGTTTATGCTAAGCTAACCATCTCTTGGATCTATCAACCTTCTCAAGAAAGCAAAAAAAAAAAAACACGCTCATTTCCCAAAATGTCTAACTATTTCTTTTAAACAAGATGTAAGATGCATGTGTCTGCAGGCAGTTGTAAAAACACCACTGTGTTTAATTATTTTTTTTTGCCTTCAGCACCAACTGGTTTTGCCCTGCATGTAAAGTGACTGCTTGTGTCTGTTTTCAGTGTTTGCAGGCTGATCTTACAGTGTGTTGTCAACTTGTGTGTTTTTCTGTTTCAGGAGGTCCCAGTAAATGGCCAGTAGGGGACACTACAGACCCACAGCCTGAGCAGATAAATGTCCCTGTTTGTAAACGGACTGCTGGCAGACACTCTGAATCCTCAGAGGATCACAATAGTGATGCTTCGTTACACTGCAGCTACTAAATCTGCTGCTACACTGCTTTTGATAATGTTAGCTACCTAATGTTCATCAGGCCTTCTCCTGCCTTTCTGTCCTGCTGTAAAACTGTCACCTTATTCTCCTGATATCAAGCCTTTTTGTACTACAATTGCACATGACTTGCCTATAATTTGATTTATTTTAGGTACTGAAGTTGTAAAAAAATCTTTTTAAAAGAAAATGCCTTTGTAAATAGTAGTTCCTGCGATTTAAGTTTCCTTTATTCTTTTTATATGATGCATATAAGAACATGAAAATGTATTTTATTACTGACTTTATTGTTTTTACTTTAATTGGTTCAGGCCTCCTGTGTGTTAAAGGAATTATGTGCAAATGCAGTAAAGACAAAAGTTTAATGACGAAATCCAACTGTGGTACAAAAGTCCCTTTATTAGCATATACATTTTTTTTTTTAAAGTACAAATGTTGGCAGCCACTTAAAAATGTGTACATGGATGAGCAGAGATAAGAAAATAGCAAAGTTCAGATCAGAAAAAGTATAGTGCTGCTTTACAGAGTAAGATGTTATACTACATTAAGTCATTATACATGAGAGGATTATATTTGAAAGGTCTAATTTCTTAAGTAGCACTTGAAACGTGTCTGGTCATTAAGTATCGTCAAAGTGACCTATAAAACTAGGTCTTGGAAAGATAAACCACAGTCAGTGACTGATGTTTAGTAGCACCAAGATCTCTTCATAATACATGTTTGTTCGGACAATCCGGCAGCTTCTCATTGGCCTTTTAAAGTAAACACTTTGGTTGTGGTTGGACTAAGTTAACAGCAGTTTTGGCAAAATGAAATGTTCAACTAATTATGGCTCCAATCATTAATTATATTAGAATAAACACACTCACTCCAGGTCACACATTTGTGCTATTTTAACTACTGCAATAACGGTATGTAAAAATGAGGCATAACACCAGAGAGTTGTTTCTGATTGCACTACTGGAGGTACAAAAACAATGTTGGCTTTCAGAATTGAGTCTTCTTCTGGAAATGTACATCTATCGCTGCACAAGTCTGACAAAGGCCTGAACAAGCTGGATGAACGGCTCCTGACCTTCATGGCTCGCCTTGGAGCCTGGCGTGGGTGGTTTGGACTGGGTGGAGGGGAGGATGCCGCTGGCAGGGGATGATGGAGAGCCCCTGCGGAAGTGGCGGGACAGGCTTGAGAGGAGAGTGCTCTGGAAGAAACAAAAAATCTAGTTTAATATTTTATATTTAGTATATCACAAAGCATAAGGCTGAAGTTATTTTTGTCTACAGCTAGTAGACAATAAGATAGAGTCCATTAGTTCCTACTATTGAGATACAAATATATATATAGTTTCAGGTTTAAACATAAATGCTCAGTAAATAGTTCGTGGATAACAATAAAAGGTCTGTGGCAAGGAGGAATAAGCTATAACAGGCATTGGATACACTAGTAATACTTTTTTGGTTTTGATTTGATTTTGGTCTTTTCCTAGGATTTTTTGACAATAAAATTACAGGGTGTTTGCGCCAATTTGCGAAAAATTTCTTAAACAAAGACAGGCTAAGAGAAATGTGATGACTGACCAGTTCAGAGCTGAGCTCCTGTTTGAGCCTCTGTTTGTCTCGAGGTAGGATGGACGGATCTTTGAGACACCGAACAGCCTGAGAGATCAGCACGTAGAAACAGTTCTCCATGGTAAACATCAGCAATGACCTGAAGAAATAAAGAACACATGCGTTCATAAATGAATATTCTGACATTTTGGGGAATGCAGTTTTTCGCTTTAGATTTAGAGTTAGATGAGAAGATTGATACTCTAATGAAGCTACAACCTGCAGATGATTAGCTTAGCTTAGCATAATGACTGCAAGCAGAGGGAAACAGCTAAACTGGCTCTGTCTGAAGGTAAAACCTTTATACAGGTTAAAAATATATGATAAATATAATGTGTGAACTGGTAGGCAGGTTTTCTTACCTTTAGACAGAGCTTTGATTACAGTCTATGCTAAGCTAACTAGTGGTATAAATCTTCTCATCTATCTTGGCAAGAAAGCATTTAAGTGCATTTGCATCAGAACCTCGTGATAAAAGTCCTGTTCAAATAATATTAAAAATAAAGTAGCAGGAGGAAGATTTACTCACTTCAGAGCTTGGATCTCCTCCGATGAGGCCAGTGAAGTTATGCTCAAGGAAACCGGCTCTTTCTTCTTCTCCATCTATGAACAAACGGCACATAGGCAATCAGTGATCTACTGTGAGTCGACTGCAGCTGAGGTTGCTCATGATTGCATGAAACATCTACCTCGCTCAACATGCTCAGGGCCACGTTGATGGTGGCCAGCAAGGTTCCAAATGAAGGCGCCACATCAGGGTCAAACGCCGGGGTTGTGAAGCTGAGCACAAACAGGGTTCGATACTCTGCCAAGTCCATACTCTGCACAGACAAACAGGCAGAGACCCACATCAGCATTTTATTCTCTTATGTCAACGTGTGGCACAGGTTTATATGATGCTAATAATCAGGATAAAGACAAATATTTAAACTAAGTTTGCATGCTTGTTTAAGCAGAATAAGCAGGCTGACCTGGTCCAGGAGTATCTGGCAGCAGTCTGGAGTGAAGTGCTGCAGAGTTGCCAGGGTTTTGCTGAGGATCTTCAGAAGACTGCACTGCACAGCCAGCAGGGCCTTCTGCTCAGCCTCCTCTCTCTCCCCTCCACCCACTGCCTCTTTAGACGGGGTTTGGGGGGCCCGCTGCGTCCTGGAAAGGGGACCAGGGGGCAACGCCTCACCGTTTTTAGCCTGAAAATAAACCAATACACACATAAAACTGTTATTTGGCTGCTTACAATCACAATTTTATGTGCAAGACACACTCGTAAGTCACATGGGTTATAATACAGAATAAAATAGAAATCTAATGATGCTGCGGTGCCTGTCATCAAATCGTGATGGTAGAAAATGTCCCAGTTTCTGACCTGGAGGTAGTGATGAAGCATCTTCTTGCTGTGGAGCAGATACGTGCAGGTCTGGCACAGATAACACAGATTGACCTGCATGGAGAGAGAAAAATACTGAATGACTGAATCCTTGAAGTGTAACTGCACCAGTGCAGCTGTGGCAGCTCTCTACTGAGGAGCTTTCCTTTGGACTTGCCTGAACATCTCGGAGCAGTTTAGGCAGGTGAAACTGCCACTCCTTACAGAAGCTGGAAAGCTGCAGCAGGAAACCGACCGTGTGATCCGCCTCGTCCAAACACGCCAGGCTCTGCACTGTTCGCACTGCATTCAGACACTGAGCAGGAGAGAAAAGGTACACATAAAGATTAGTAAGAATATGGTCAACAAGAAAAACAATAGTGGTGAATGCAGGTGTGTTAAATGTATCTAGTTTTTTTTCCTGCCATTTTATCTTATTACTAGTTTGTATTGCTCAGTGAAAGACACTACAACTGTTCATTTCTGTGGTTATAATGCCAAATGAATGTTAAAAATGTTGATTGATGTAAGGACTTAAAGTGAGAAAAACATCGTCGATTACTTGGTCCACAGAACATTAATAATTTATTTATAATGAATAATTATTTAAAAAATAAATTGCTGGTTCCAACTTCTGTAAATATGGGAATGCGAATCTTTGATTGTAGTAGTGTGCTTTTAAGTGATCCATAACTAAATACCGTTCTGTACTTGGAATATTGGTCGGACAAAACAAGCTGTTTGAGTAATTTTAAGTAATTAATGCAATAAGACAACTTCTGCAATCACAGTCATACTTGTAGAATTCGTTCTTGATGTACTCCGACAAAGTCCAGTGCTTCGTTGATGAAGTTGTAACGCAGAGTCTTGAGCAGACTCTCCATTAAAGACATGCAGAGGCGGTACACCCCCGGCCAGCAGGCGGAGTCCTGGGACTTTCGGGAGAAACTCTGCTCAGAGACACGAATATGTTGAGTTATTATATCATGTTAATGCAGGGCTGTGTCTTTGTCATTAAGCAATGCTATGTGACAGAGAAATATTCCTGTAAATGGATCACTATCATTTAATTTTTATTACCTGTGATGCTCCATTTGAAGACCCCTCATAGACACTCAGAAGAGGGAGGCAGATAGTTTGGATGACTCCTGCTCCAGCAACAGCTGCTGCCCCCTGGAGGACAAATGAACACACCCTCAGCATTTGACATCTTAAATTGATTTAAAGGATTTATCTTAAAACATTACAATTATGAGACTGTTAAATACTATATTTTTCTTTATATTAATCCCATGATCCCTCCATTCTGCCGTAAATTAGAGCACCGAATGCCCAGAAGATTTATTTCTTCAGAAGCAACAAAGGCAACACATTGCTCATTTTGGTCTTTTCACAGCAGTAATTGGCAATAAGAAAAATATAAAATAACAAAAGCCTTAGACTTTACATTTCACAGTAGAGAAGCGTTTTTGTGTCTACCTGAGGAGTGCGGGCCAGTGTGAGCAGCAGGTGAAGTGCAGCCTCAGTGAAGTAGAGGTTGTGTTTTGATCGCAGGCTGAGCTCAACAGCACTGAGCACTGAGGGGAGGACTGGGACCTTCCTCATCACCGAGACCCAGTGCTCGCCATCCTCATCGGTGCGACACAGCTCCTTCGCTAAATGCAGTGCTAGCACACACACCTACAAAAAGAAGTGAGAAACAATCTTAAATCAACTTTATGTTGGATTTACTGTACACAATCTGCCAAAGAGATGTGATAATGTGAAGACAATGTGTCACTAGTGGACCATGGACAGCAGCTAAAGAGCCAGATATTTCCCTCAGGAGTTGGTAGCTAACAAGTTCGCCAAATCATCTTAAAAGGGTAAATTGTGTTCACGACTTGTTTCTGCTGCCCCCAAGTGGCCAAAAAATCCTGACTGTAGGTTTAATATCTAACCAAAATGTATCAGTAAAAGATCAGTGATTTTCCAAAGCCTTTCTGTTCCCTCAACATTGTGCTTCAACATTAAATAACCTAAAGAAACATTTGTCCTCTAGGAAGAGAGAAGTTAAATGCTGAAAATTGAGCTCATTGGCTTGAATATGAAACTGACTCTTGGACTTCCCTGAAAGGAGAGTTGTGTAAAACACCATCTCCAAACAAATAAACAAACTCTTCTGTCCGTCACTCCTGCCTCCGCTCACCCCATCTCTTTGGTCCTTCCGTGGGCCACGGGGAGATTCCGTCTCCATGCTGTCCTCATCCTCCGCTGTTTCTCCCGTTTGGCTCATGTGACGAGTATTGTCGATGAGCGCCAGGGCCTCGTCTTTCACCGTCTCACACACAGACAGCAACAGCTGGGGCAGCTGGGAAATATCTCCACCTAGTTGACAAATTAATTAATCAATATGTAGATTGAACTACAG